GTTCCCGTTGCCGAATTTGATCACGGAATACCTCCGGAGTTGGGAGTTGCCGTTGTGCCAAATTACACCGAATAGCTGGAAGAAGATAATCGGGCTAATGGTGTTGCTGCATGAGAGGGGTGAGGGACTCCCGTCGTGCGATGAGATGAGGAGTATTTTTGCTTTTAAACAGAGCCCGAAGATGAGGGTGGCCGAATCGTCTTGTTGCTTCTTCGCCGGGGCGAAGCCGCAACATGGTGTCAAAGTTGGGGAAATTGTTACTGAGATTCCGGAGAGCCTCCACGGTTTTCAGGAGGAATGGGTTTGGATAGGCGGAGAATGGTAGTCGGTGGACTTCTTTCATGAGCGCCGAATTGATGGGATGACCATACCCATGTTAATTCATTCCGGGGCCAGTGAGTTTACTTTTCTGTTTTGTCAATTCGGATATGCTTATCTGATTCTTGTATTGTTCTGTGTACTAACAGGTCGGAACTTTTACTCTGTTGTAGAAAAAGAGACAAAGCAAAAAGAACCGAAGTTAAGCCCGGAGTTCGGTGGGAAGTTGATAACCTTGGCTGGTTTGGATAAAGCGGAGAGGGATTATCGCAAGCTTGTGGTCGACTCGAAACTTGAAGCGGCTGGTTTGTCTTTGGGAGTCACGACATCGAAATTTGACCCCGGTAAGAGAAGTGTAGCCAGTAAAAATGTCGAACTTTCTTGTACATATGACACAACTGTTTATAACTCTTGTCTCTTATTGATATGCAGTATATTATCCTCTCCTCGGTTTCTTGGGCTACAGCTCGGTCAAGGAAGCCAAAGAGTTCAGACGTAAATTTCCGAACAAAGACCTTCAATCTAAAGTCGGTAAGAGCCGTGATTTGAGGTTAAACGACGCCATGAGGAGGGATCTTGTTCGCGCATTAGTGAAGAAGACAGCTGGTCAGAAGAATGTTGGGAAAAAGTCGACCGAGATGGGGTCGAGTGCTACTTCGGCTGCCATGCCGGGAAGTCCGAAGTCTGTGCCCGAGGTGGCGACTACCGAAGTGTTGTCGGTAGTGGAAGCTGTGGCGATCAATCAGGCTGATCCGGAGCCAATTATTGCTGGGACTGAAATAGTTTCTACTGAGGTTGCCCACACCGAGGTGCCGCCAGCGTCCCCGAAGTCACTTGAATTGGAGCAACCGGAGAGGAGAAAGAAGAGAAAGCTGGTGAAGATGGCGGACGTCGGTGCTTCGTCCGAGGTGGAGAAAAGGTCCAAGAAAAAGCGCGACTCCGGCCGTAAGGTGACTGAAAAAGGTACCGATGACTCGCCCTTATTTGAGAAATCTTTTTTATCCATTGATGAGGAAAGGGCTGCCAGAGTCAAGGTGCCTGAGGGCGTGGTGGAGGATTGGTTTACCACCTTTCTATCTGTGAAGTCCCCTCATATGTCATCTAGAATCGAGATGCCAGAAAACGCAAGGGATGCTGCTCGAGTCCCATTGATGGTTTGGGACCCCAAATCCGAAGTGGGGGTCTCCTCGTTATCCAGCGTGGACAGGCTGAGCTACGCCAAGGCATGTGTTGGCAGGGCCTTGGTTAGCTTAGTGGCGGCCGAGGATGATCATCGACGGGTCGTATCTCAGTTGGAAGGAAAGAAAGATGTTCTAGCCGCACGTGATGTGGCGATTGTGCAGTTGAAGGAAGAATCGGCTAAAATGGAGGCCGACTTGCAGGGCCAAATTGCCGAGAAGGTCGGCGAGTTGGAAAAGGCGAAAGCTGATGCTGTGACTTATTCTGAAGAGAAGAAGGCCTATGAGGCCGAAGTGGCGGATCTCAAGGCGCGCTTAGCCGTGGTAGAGCAGCATTTTAAAACATCCGAGGTCAAGTTGATGGAGACCGAGAGGGCCTTATTGGAGGAAAAGGCTAATCATGAAGCAGCTCGGAAAGAATGCGCTGAGACTCGCGAACTCGTGGGTAGGCAGCATGATGCTCATCAGGCTGACATAGCCAAACTTGAGAAGGAGAAATCTGCTTATGGAGAGTTCATGTACGAGAACGGATTTCAGGCCGGGAAAGATTCGGTGATTGTGGAGCCGAAGTCCGGAGATAACGCCGAGGTGGAGGCTGATGTGGCCGGCGAAGAGGATGAAGCCGGTGGTCCCGACCTCGAGATTGAGATGAACACATGTCTGAACTTAAGGTGGATCATCGAACGCTATGACGCCGGCTACTACAATATCGATGACCTCCGCTTGTTTCTTTTCCATAAGCTGGAGAAGTATGGGTTCGATTCAGAAATAAAAGGAATGCATGTTGCGGCTGATGAAGATGAGCGAGAATTTTGTGTATGGATGCTCCGCCGTTCAGAGGAGGTGAACCCCGACTTGCCAGCACTCTCCGAAGATAGGGCTGCTCTCCTCCGACGTGCCTACGTCAACTTGATTTTGGAGGAGGAGAAGGAAAAAAGGAAGGAGCTGGCTGATGTATATCTTTCCACTCTCGCCGAAGTAGAAGTTGAACAACACTTTGATGATATGACTCCGGAACAGATTCGGGACAGGGTCCATGCCTTTATTGATGAGAAAGCTAAGTCGGCCGACAAGGAAGTGGAGTTTGTGAAGACCGTCACGCCGGCTGAGGATGAAGTGAGGAGGTTGTCTGATCCTCGTGACGAGTTCATTCCGGTGCCAGATGGGGCCATTGAAGCTGCTGTTAAAACAAAGGAATCGCAGGTCTTGGAGCGATTATCTTCTGGTTTTGAAGTCGGAGAAGGCAGCGGCTCCGGAGGCAATGTGGAAAAACCGGCTGATGATGCTTAGGATATGTTGCTTGTTTGTTTTTTTTGTTTTTGAATGTTCTTGAGGTATTTTGGGTTATGTAATCGGGGTGTCGGTCATGTCGGCATCCTTAGTAGGAAATATTTAAAAGTGATGGTATGTAATCGGGGATGTTGGATAGCCGACTCCCTTAGTAGGAAATATGAAATTTTATGTAAGGGATTCCCCGGATTTCGAAATAATATTAGATATGAAGTGTTTGAGTATGTTTGATTTTGTTTGCATGTTTTGCTGTACAAATTTCAGCAATTTTTCGACCAAGTGTTTTGAATTCGGTTTTTAGAAAGCAAACTGCTTCAACTCGGAATTACTTAAATCGTGATCCGAGTTGTAGGTTTTTATAAATATAACTTCCGAATTCCACTTTGATCATTTATTAGAATTTCAGCCACAAGCGTGAGTCGATTATGCGAGTTTTCAGATAACTTCGCAAAACTCAACGCATTTTTAGGGCTGTACGGGAAATAAAATGGAAGTCATCGGACTTCGTCAGAGTCCGATTATGGAATGGTCCCAACCGAATTATTTTAATAAGTGTTCGGTAATTATCGGGACCCGCCAAATCATGTTTAGCTGAAGTGGCGTTTGACGAGCTTCAACCCCGACCAAACCATACGTGGGATTCGGGTGTATTACAGGGTATAAGCTAGGCCGAGTGTCGCAATGTTTACTTCGGCATGATATTGATAACCATGTTTGC